AGGTTTTCGTATAGACATAAGATTTCATTTCTCTGGGATGAATACCCACAAGTGCAATCGCTAGGTCTTGTGGTAAATATTTCAGTTTTTAAAGTAGTTGCCAAATTATTTTCCAGAGTGGCTGTACTGTTTTTAAATTCCCACTGGCAATGTATAAGAGATCTGGTTTCTCTGCAATCTCCAGCATTTGGTAAAGACCAACAATCAGAGAAAAAAATAGTTAAAATTTGCCATTTTATTTATTTATTTTTGGCCGGGGCTAGGTTTGAACCTGTTATCTCCTGTATATGGGGCCAGTGCCCTACTCCTTTGAGCCACAGGCGCCGCCCCAAATTTGCCATTTTAAAAAGGCATAAGTTCTACATGTGTCTATAGCTGAACTTTAAAAAAAGATAATATCTATGCTATCTTAACACAAAAAGGTAGAAGTCACCTGAATTCCTTTTAAAAACTGGCATAACCTTAATACGTGTGCCAATGCTTGTTAAATATAATATAAAAATAATTGGGTCGGGCGTTGTGGCTCATGCCTGTAATTTTAGCGCTCTGGGAGGCCAAGGCAGGATTGTTTGAACTCAGGAATCAGACCAGCCTGAGCAAGAGTGAGACTGCATCTCTAGTAAAAATAGAAAAACTAGCCTTGTGTGGAGGTAGGTGCCTATAGTCCCAGCTACTTGGGAGGCTGAGGCAGAAGGATTGCTTGAGGTCAAGAGTTTGAGATTACTGAGAGCTATGACGCCACAGCTCTGTACTGAGGGTGACCGAGTGAGACTCTGTCTCAAAAAAAAAATGATTTCTAAGACTTGATGTGGTTCCATGCATTTCTGCTGGTTTTATCTGCATGTGTTGAATGACCCTAAGATTTATGCCAGTTAGTACTTCTTTATTGTGTATTTTATTATTAAAAGAGATCTCTCTTTTTTGTTAATCTGATCCATACTTTATACCTTAATTTTCATCTTGATAATTATATTTTCAGACCTGCTTTCATTTTTTTTTTTGCATTTTCCTGATATATCATGTAGTTTTAAAATCCTTATTGAAATATAATACAAAAAAGTGTATATACATTGTTCATGTTTAGGTTGGTGGTTTTTTAAACAGACTGAACAAACCTCCATAGCCACCACCTAAATGAAGAAATATCCATTACTACCTCTCAATAAGCTGTGTGTTTGAAATTTATATAAATATAATCATGCAGCATTGCTTCATTGCTCTTTTGGGTCTGGCTACTTTGACTTAACATAATTTTCATAAGACTCGTGCATGTTGAATCTAGCAATTCTTTTTTGTATAGTAGTTCCTTATGTAAATATAGCACAACTTGTTTATCCATTCCAATGTTGATGAGCTTTTGTATAATGTCCCATTTTGAATAAAGCTGCTATGAATATTATTGTACTTGTCTTTTGGTAAACATATTCTCATTTCTCTTGAGTATATACCTACGAGTGAAATAGCTGGGTCATAGGAAATTGCATGCGTTCAGCATTGATAGATACTACCAAACAGTTTTCCAAACATCTGTATTATTTTATGCTTCTAATAAGCAGTTTATGAGTTTCAGTTGTTCCACATCTTTGCCAGCTCTTGGTTATTTATCAATTTTTTTTTCCATTTTAGCCATTTCTGGCAGATATGGAGGGCTATCTTATTGTCATTTAATTTCTGTTCCTTGCTACTTAATGTAGTTGAGCATCCTTTTATATGTTTATTTGCCATTTGTATATTTTCTTTGTAAAGTGCCTGTTCTTTTTGTTCTTTTTGTATGACTTTTATTGATTCCTAGAAATTCTTGATGTATTTGGGATTTTAATCACTTGTCAGATACATGCATTGCAGTTACCCTCTCCCACCGTGGGATTTGCCTTTACATTTTTAGTTTTGTCTTCGGATGAACAGAAGTCCATAGTATTTTTGTTTTGTTTACTTTCTGTTTACTTTTTCCTCAGGGTGGGTGGGCTCAAATGGAAATCCTTAATTTTTTATGTATTTTATTTTTATTTATTTATTTATTTTCTTGAGACAGAGTCTCAAACTGTTGCCCTGGATAGAGTGTTGTGGCATCACAGCTCACAGCAACCTCAAACTCTCAGACTTAAGCAATTCTCTTGCCTCGGCCTCCCAAGTAGCTGGGACTACAGGCGCCCACCACAAGGCCTGGCTGTATTTTTCTGTTGTTGTTGCAGTTGTCATTGTTGTTTTTTAGCTGGCCCAGGCTGGGTTTGAACCCACCAACCTCAGTGTATGTGACTGGCAGCCTACACACTGAGCTACAGGCACCACCCAGAAATCCTTAATTTTTTTTTTTTTTTGAGACAGAGTCTCACTATGTCACCATGGGTAGAGTGCCGTGGTGTCTCAGCTCACAGCAACCTCAAACTCTCGGGCTTAAGTGATTCTCTTGCCTCAGCCTCCCAAGTAGCTGGGACTATAGGCGCCCACCACAATGCCTAGTTATTTTTTACTTTGTTTCAGTTGTCTTGTTTAGCAGGCCCCGGGCCGGGCTCGAACCCGCCAACTTTGGTGTATCTGGCTGGTGCCCCACTCACTGACCCCTGGGCAATAAATCTCATGCATGTTGCCCATATTCCATGCTAATACTTGGCATTGGTTTTACCAAACTTTTCTCTGTCACAACATCCACCATAGCAAGCTACGTCTTGGTACCCCCAGGAAGCATTTGTGGGTGAGTATGGAATGGCTAACATGTGGACACTGTCTTTCCAGGGTTTCTTGGAGCCTTTACAGAGTCCAGGCAGCAGACTGCTTAGTGAGAACTACAAGATCTTCTTCTGACTTCACCCCAGCAGCTCTGGTTGAATCCACAGATGCCAGCCCAGCTTCAAGCTCCTGGGCCATGTGGAACTGTCAGCAAGAGGGTCTGAGACCTGAGGCCCAGTGCAGACATGGCAGCTAATGGGGACTCTCTCCTGTGGTCCCCAGCCCTGACTGCAGAGGGACATGGCAGCTTATGTGAGGTGAGGATGGAGAGGACCCCAGGGGCAGTAGTTCATTCAGTAAGGATATACCCCTAATCTGTCCCCAGGGCCTCAGGGCAGGGACAGGTAAGTTACAAGAAGCAGCAGATTGCAGACTTGCTGCCCCAGAAACAAATCAGGATTCTCCACTGAGAGTGAGCACCACATGGCTGATGTCACCACCTGCAGAGTCCTGTGGGTTTCAATGGAAAATGTGCCTTGGCTGATGTAGGGTGGGATGTGAAGCTTCCAGCCTCATGGTCTAGGGGACAGGGAGGCAATTCCCTGCAGGGTGTCTGAGGGTGAGGTCTGAATGGGAGTATCCATAGCCAGGGAGACACCACTCATCCCCCTGAAAGGGCCCTTCCTTCTGCATCAGCTCTCTGTAGACACTCAGCTAATCCCCATGGCGCCCCCTGCCTTATCCCTGGTCTCTGGAATCTGCTAATCCCCCGCCCCCCCTGCCATCCAGATTTAGGTACAGAAAAGTTCTTTTTCTTTGCAACTTAGAGACGGGCTGGGTAATAGTGCAACCACAGTCTCTAGGGCTCTTCTAGATCTTCCTCCTTTTTTTTTCTTTTGAGATAGAGTCTCACTCTGTCGCTCTGCCCTGGGTAGAATGCTGTGGTGTCACAGCTCACAGCAACTTTGAATTCTTGTGCTCAAGTGATCCTCTTGCCTCATCTTCCCGAGTAACTGGCACCTGCCTCGACTCACAGCTATTTTTTTAAAGACAGGGTCTTGCTCTTGCTCAGCCTGGTCATAAACTCCTGAGCTCAGGCAATCCACCCACCTCGGCCTCTCAGACAGAGTACTAAGATTACAGCTGTGAGCCACCGTGCCTGGTGTCTTCCTCCTTCTTTTAAAGATGAATAAAATGACCTAAGAAACTATATAATGGCTCTAGACTGGAGCCAGGTTCCCTTACTGCATCCTTCACCCTCCCCACACTGCTGCAGAGACCAAGTTTCCTGCTCAGAATCCCCTTTGCGATTGTGTAAGCAGAGGAACACAATGAGTAAACCCACCCTGCCTAACAGCTCCCTCCTTTCAGATCTGCCTGTGGATGCTGTCAGCTCTGGGAAGGTCTCCTTGTCACGGGGCTGGGGTCATGTGGTTATTAAATCATATTAAACTTTTAAGTATTATTTTGTTTTTTATAATTTGTCACTGCATTATAAGATACTAGAGAACATAGGTTAACAAATAGAAGAGAATAAAAAATTACTCTTAATTCCAACATTACTTAAAGTAACCATTGTTGATATTAGCTATATTTCCTTTTTTTTTTTTTTGGACGGGGCTGGGTTTGAATCTGCCAGTTCCGGCATATGAGGCTGGTGCCCTACTCCTCTGAGCCACAGGTGCCACCCAATATTAGCTGTATTTCCTTTCAAACTTTAGCTAGATTTCCTTTTTCCTTGGTATGTACATGTCTGCATGTGTGTAGGTATACATGTGGAGCTGTAAGTGTGCATGCATACCATACACATATATAGCCAAAGTTTTTAAAATAGTCATATTATTTAGTTATCTCCTTTTTAACTTAGCAAGTTAACAATTTTCTAGTCAGTAAATATTTTTCTTCATATGCATACGATATACATTTAGCCAGTCTACTTTTTAAAATTTGATTTTTTAATTTTTTTTTTTATTGTTGGGGATTCATTGAGGGTACAAGAAACTAGGTTACACTGATTGCATTTGTTAGGTAAAGTCTCTCTTATAATTGTGTCTTGCGCCTAGACCCCTCCATCCTTAAATTAGATTTTTAATTGACAAATTATAATTGTCTTTATTTATGGGATACAATGTAATATTTTACTTATGTTAATGGATTGCTTAAATCAAGATAATTAACATATTCATCACCTTACACACTTATTTTTTTGGTGGTGTGAACATTTAAAATCTGGTCTCATAACAGTTTTGAAATATACATTAAATTTTTATTAACTATAAACACCATGCTGTGCAATAGATCTCAAAAACTTCTTACTTTTGTCTAACAAAAAGTGTGTATGCTTTGACCAACATCTCCCCATCTCCCACAACCAGTCCACTTTTTTTTTTTTCTTGAGACAGAGCCTCAAGCTATCCCCCTGGGTAGAGTGCTGTGGCCTCATAGCTCACAGCAACCTCCAACTCCTGGGCTCAAGCAAGTCTCCTGCCTCAGCCTCCCAAGTAGCTGGGACCACAGGCGCCCGCCACAACACCCGGCCATTCTTTGGTTGCAGCCGTCATTGTTGTTTGGCGGGCCCAGGCTGGATTCGAACCCACCACTTTAGGTGTATGTTTCTGGCGCCTTAGCCACTTGAGCCACAGGCACTGAGCCAACCAGTCCACTATTAATGTGCATTTAGGGTGTTTCAGGTTTTCTGTGATGATTAACAGTGCTGTGATAGCATTCCAACTTTTAAATCTTTTATTTTTTGAGTCAAAATTATGGGGGTATTAAATGGTAAATGAACTAGTGCTCGACAGCAGTGCATTTCCTTCTTGTCCAAGTTATGCTCAGTCATAACAGTCATGAACCCCACAGTGTGGGGCCACAACAGTGTGGTCCTCCCCAGTCCTGCCCATGGCCTCTTGCCTAGCCCTTCTGTGGGGATTTCTAGATGAATGATTCTGGGTTCTGCAAGGCACATTTATCCATTCATCTCTTCCCTCCTAACCACATTTCGCTGGCCCTTCTCAACAAGAGATGGAAATGACCAAGACCTTGGGGAATATCAGTTATTTGCTTATTTATTTGCTAGGTTCTTTTTTCTGTTATATATCAGGGAACAGCCATTTGGACCAAGAAACAGTGGCTGAAGCTAGAGAGCAAGTGGAGGGGTCAGTGAGAGAAAGAGGGCTGAGGGCAACCACAGGGGAATAAAGAACAAGGGCCAGGGTACATTTATTGGAGATGGAGAGTAACCAAGGGGTCCAGGGAACAGGTAGAGGCACAAGGAACAAACAGAGGACACAGAACACATGACTCAGATACTGAGTAACAGCCAGAGACCAAGAAAACAGTTGTTGAGGCTAGAGAAGTGATTGTTAAGGAGCAGGGAAGAGCCAGTGAGAAGGATCATGAAACAGGAGGAGGGACCAGGAACTAGAGGAACCAGATAGCAGCCAGGTAGAGCAGGGAACATCAGAGGGGTGAGGAAGCAAAAGAATCAAGTGAAATGGAAAAAGCAAAAATGTTCAAGGAGCTGAGGATAAGTCTGAGGGACAAGCAACTTCGCAGGGAACCTTAAGGGGACAGGGAAAAGGAAGAAGCACCAGAGAATAAGAAATGGAAACTATGACCCTGCAAATGGGGAGCAGGAGGCAATTGCTGAAGCTATAGGATGAGCAGAGTATCAAGGAGGGACAGAACCCATGGACCAGGGGGAAAAACGAGAGAAGAGCCTCTAAGGCTGAGGAATGGCCTAGGGGGCCAGGGAACACAAGGAAGCAAGGAACAGTTACTGAGGTTAGGGAGCAGTGAAAGGAGCAGCAAACACATGCGTAGGGCAAAGTGTCAACCAGAGGTCCCAGGAAATAAACCAGAGGAGGGACTAGGGAACAGGCCAAGTGACAAGCATTAAACATGTATCTGGTGTGGTGTAGCAGCCTGATGGATTAGAGACCAGCTAGAGAGACTAGAGAAGCAGAAGGATTAATATAAATTACTACTAAGAGTTAGGCAGAGGTCCCATGCAGTGGTCACTGAAGTTAAGGCACAGTTGAAGAAGTCAGAAAGGCTGGGAACACCAAAGTTCTCAGGAATAGGGTGACCAACCACCCTGGTTTGCCTGTGGCTGAGGGGACATGGGGCTTTCAGTGCTAAAATGGAAATTCCTGGTCAGACCGGGATGGTCGGTCACCTTACCCAGGAAACAATCACAGGAACTAGCCAATAGTCAGATGTACTATCAGTAATGGAGACAATGGAAGCAGGGACTCCCGGCATGGTATAGGACACACAGAAGCAGTGTACTTCAGTGGGTAAGGACATGGGCTAAGGAGCCAGCTAGACTGGCTGTACTCAAAGTATGGTCCATGGACAGATACATGAGCATCATGGCAGAGCATATTAATTAAATGTATTCAAAAAACTATCCAAGGGCACAGGGATCAGGAAACATAGAACAGGCAGAGGAATCCAATAGCAATCAGTCTATGTGAACCAGATAGAAACAGCTGAAAGGAACAAGAAAGGCCCTTAGAGACCAGGTAACAGTGAGGTGCACTAGGGCACAATGCTGCAGAACAGGGATCAGCTGGGAGGGCAACTGTCTGCATGCAACACAGGGCTAGGTGCGGTGGCTCACGCCTGTAGTCCTAGCTCTTTGGAAGGCCGAGAGCTCAGGGATTTGAGACCAGCCTGAGCAAGAGCAAGACCCTGTCTCTACTAAAAATAGAAAAACTAGCCAGGCATGGTGGCACAGGCCTATAGTCCCAGCTATTTTGGAGGCTGAAGCAAGAGGATTGCTCAAGCCCAGGAGTTTGAGGTTACAGGGCATGCTACCCAGGGTGACAGTGAAACTGTCTCAAGAAAAAAGAAAGGAACACACGACAGGAAATAGGAGGCATGAGCAGTTAGAGGGGTGCAGGTGTGGGGAAAGGAAGTAATTAATAAAAGAATGGGGAGACACTGAGAGGAAATAGTAAATAGATGGACCAAGGAAGAGTCCCTTTGACTAAAGGGAATAAGTACTCAGATGGGGAACACTCGGAGGGAAGAAGGACCAGCAGAGGGAGTGGAGAGAAGTTTAGGGAAGCAGAAAAGAGTTGGACTGGGGGTGGAGGCAGAGAAGGCCAGAGGGAAGGAGGAGCAGTTGGAGGGGCCCAGATAACATCCAGATAGATAATGACCAGCCAGAGGGAGCAAAGACTGTGGGGCAGCCTCACTGTGCTGGCTACCAATTTGGCCCCGAGACACATCACTTACGCCCACAAGTTAATGGAGCAGGTTTGTTACTTACACATAGGCAGCAAGGGACAACCCAAGCCCAGAATTCATTGCTGACTGGTCCCTCAAGGCTCAGGAAACCTCAGGGCTGATGGAGTCTTGTCTGTGTGTACCCTGCCTGCACTATGGTTGAGGGACC